AGAGAGAGGTAGAAAAGGGGGGGGGGGGAGAGACCGGGTATTTTGGAAAGCCGGGTGCATGCAAGTCTACACTCTCTACTGTAAGTGAACTTTACCTGTAACTCTGAGTCAATAGTTTCACAAAAGACCATCTTAACGAGCTGATGTGCATCGAATATAAGGTGCAAGCTTAAGATCCATCAGTAATACTATCAGTATCACGCCGGCCGGATTTACTCCCTAATAAGTTCTCGAGTACTAATCAAAACAGACATGCAGTAGAGGTTGGCATTCCAGTGGAAACCAAGCGGCGTGGAATAGTGGAAGACATGCGTATGGAAGACATGAGTATGGAAGACATGCGTATGGAAGACATGCGTATGGAAGACATGCGTATGGAAGACATGCGTATGGAAGACATGAGTATGGAAGACATGCGTATGGAAGACATGCGTATGGAAGACATGCGTATGGAAGACATGCGTATGGAAGACATGCGTATGGAAGACATCCGTATTGAAGACATGCGTATGGAAGATATGCGTATGGAAGACATCAGTCGCACCACAGACTTCATAGAGGTCTGTAGCCTTCTAATATGAAAACCACTGGCAGGGCGAACCAAAAGAAGAAGACTTTTTAAGATATTAGTAGTAGTAGTACTTTTACCCCACCAGGACATCACACAAGCGATAAACACCCGATGACACAAAGTGCCACCATGTGGATGAGGATCACCCGTGGAGAGGTCCTGGAAACTGCGTTTAGCCATTAGACATATTTATGGCCGGGCTATATTGCGGCCCCTGGCTAGAGCCAGAGTAGGGCTTCATATAACGAAAAAGTGCATCCCTCAAGGGGATGACGATTATAATATTCTCAAGATATGTCCTGATACTTATTTTAGACAAGAGTGATGTGGCAGATCGGGTGAGATCAAAACACGAAAACAACTTTGGGTGCGGATTCAAATACACGACCTTCTAACTCAGCGGTTCTCAACCTGTGGGTCGTGACCCCTTTGGGGGTCGAACGAACGTTTTACAGGAGTCACCTAAGACCATCGGAAAACACACATTCACTGAAGTTATGAAGTAGCAACGAGAATAAATTTATTGTTGGGGGTCACCACAACATGATGAACTGTATTAAAGGGGTGCGGCATAAGGAAGATTGCGAACTACTGTTCTAAGTAATTAGTGTTTGGCGATAACTATCCTTCCGAGCACTTCCATAGGTGTTTCCGTCTTCTCTTAAAAAAACTTAAAGGTGCGTAGAGCAACTGACGACACATGTTCTGTGTTGACTAATCACACGACTTTCCCTCTTAGTGGAATGTCAATTTCTTGCAGCTCCATGCTCCCTCCCCCATCTTTTCCTGCCCCCCTCCCCCCCCCCACCCTAACGTCTATCAACCTGGAAAGAGATACTGAGCTATTCCCTTTGCCGTATTTGTCTTCCGGTAAGTGCTACACAGGGTATTGATAACGTCGCTCCTGGATGGTATCGGAACAGCCTTAGCAACCACTGCGTCTTGCACTCTTGTTACTTTCTGACATGCCCAGCTCTAGTTACTTGAACTGGTCATGCCTTCTAAGCAGACAGACAAGTGTCCTAGCAACTGTTTTACTGTGGCTTCCAAGAAGATCTCTTGAGTAGGGGGGATACATGTGTGCATTGTTCATTACAGGATCATTTTCACTGTACATCGGTCATATTCATACGTGCTTTTATCTTCGCACAAACATGTGTTAGCGTATTTAAGATTTCCCTTCTGTGTTGGCTGATGTAGTGACGAGGCGCTCCTGCGTCGTGTAATTTTGATAAAATGAAAACTGAAGACAGACAGACAGACAGACAGACAGACAGACAGACAGACAGACAGACAGACAGACAGACAGACAGACAGACAGACAGACAGACAGACAGACAGACAGACAGACAGACAGACAGACAGACAGACAGACAGATAGATAGATAGACAGACAGACAGACAGACAGACAGACAGACAGACAGACAGACAGACAGACAGACAGACAGACAGACAGACAGACAGACAGACAGACAGACAGACAGACAGACAGATAGATAGATAGATAGATAGATAGATAGATAGATAGATAGATAGATAGATAGATAGATAGATAGATAGATAGATAGATAGATAGATAGATAGATAGATAGATAGATAGATAGATAGATAGATAGATAGATAAATAGATAGACAGATTTTAGACAGACAGACAGACAGACAGACAGACAGACAGACAGACAGACAGACAGACAGACAGACAGACAGACAGACAGACAGACAGACAGACAGACAGACAGACAGACAGACAGACAGACAGATAGATAGATAGATAGATAGATAGATAGATAGATAGATAGATAGATAGATAGATAGATAGATAGATAGATAGATAGATAGATAGATAGATAGATAGATAGATAGATAGATAGATAGATAGATAGATAGATAGATAGATAGATAGATAGATAGATAGATAGATAGATAGATAGATAGATAGATAGATAGATAGATAGATAGATAGATAGATAGATAGATAGATAGATAGATAGATAGATAGATTAGATAGATAGAAAGATAGATAGATAGACAGATAAAGAGAGAGAGAGCGAGAGAAAGAGAGGCAGAAACTGGGGGGGGGGGGGGATTAAAAAACGAACTTCTTTAAGTGTCACAAATTGGGCATGCAAGCCTGTCCTACATTAGGTCCCTCTAAACAATAATCTTCTATACGACAATTGTACATTATTGCTCGAGTGAGCGAGTGAAAGAGAAGGAGAGAGAGAGAGAGAGAGAGAGAGAGAGAGAGAGAGAGAGAGAGAGAGAGAGAGAGAGAGAGAGAGAGAGAGGGAAAGAGAGAGAGGTGGGAAACAGACAGACAGACCAAGAGAGACAGAAACAGACAATGGATATACACTGTGAGACAATGCCTAGACTGATTGCCACTGCCGCACAGAGACACAATATCACAAATGATTAACAGCACGAGAATTAGGCGGCCGTGGATTTGTGCTACAACAAGCCTTACAGAGATAAGCCTACAAGAAACAGATATGTCTCCTTAAATGTAATGGGACCATCTATCACGTGTGTTCGGGATGTCAGAGGAAGACAATATGTGCACGCGATCATGTCAGGGAATGGAAGTGAGCAAAAACTGAGGGCAAGTTTTCAAGGGGGACTAAACAACGGAAGTTAATTCAAAGTTGTTAGTGAAGATTAGGCATAGAAGAGATACATTCTTGATTGTGACCAGGTGTGTGTGCTATGTGTGTACAAATGTGTGCGTAATATTGTAGTTAGCTAGTTAGTTGGGTTATCATCCTTGCACTCCGGACATGTCCATAGGTGCTCAGATCCTCCCCCTCAGTATGAACCCCAACGCCTGATGGTTAATAGTACCAGTCCTATGTTGAATAACAAATCTTCCCGCGTGGGTCTCGTTTTTTGCTATGCTCATCTTAATTCCGAAGTCTGCCATTCTGTGATGTGGATTCACTGCCCTCAAAGTCCTCTATCCTTCCAATTTCTCTCAGGGCATTAATAATATCAGCATGATCCATACGCTGGCCGTCGGTAGTGATAGTGGATCTAGCCAACCTGTCAGCTCTTTCATTTTCATTGACGCTTGCGTATCCCGGAACACAAATAAAAGTGACTCCACGCACAGTGGACTTCTGTAATGATTCAGTCCAATGTATTAACAAGCAACAACGATACAACTCAAGAACGTAACTCTAGTCCTGCGAACGCTAAAACAAGGGCCATAAGTCCATATGAATTTCAGACGGGAAAAAAAAAAAAAAACCCAATTCATCAAAGAACAGCCATTTCACACAGATCGTTAATAATTACTTAAACAAAATTAATTTCATGCATGGTAAATTTATGTTTGAAATTTATAAAAATATATTAGTTAGTTAGTTAGTTAGTTAGTTGGGTTATCCTCATTGCACTCAGGACATGTCCATAGGTGCTCAGATCCTCCCCTCAGTATGAACCCCAACGTCCGATGGCTAATAGTACCAGTTCTATGTTGATTAACAAGTCTTCTGGCGTGTCTGGTGTGCATCTCGTTTTTTGCTGTGCCGATCTTAATTCTCAAGTCTGCCATTCTGGCGAGTGATGTGGATTCACTGCCACCAAAGTCCTCTATCCTTCCCATTTCTCTGAGGGCATTGATAATATCAGCATGATCCATAGGCTGACCGTCGGTAGTGATAGCGGATCCAGCCAACCTGTCAGCTCTTTCATTTCCATCGACGCCTGCGTGTCCCGGAACAAAAATAAAGGTGACTCCACGAACAGTGGACTTCTGTATAAAAATGTGTAATCAATAATCATGAATCGTTTAAAGGGAATAAATAGAATACATTGACAGGGGCCAAATAAATGTTATCTGATGGCTCAGGCCATAATTTCGTTCTTTTCAGGACGAAGTTTTTTGTCATTTGAAGCCCTACTCTGGCTTCTGCCAGGAGCCGCAATATAGGCAGGCCATACATATGGCCAAATGTCTGAACGCGGTTTCTGGGACCTCTCCATGGTGATCCTCACCCACATGGTGGCACTTTGTGTCATCGGGTGTTTATCGCTTGTGTGATGTCCTGGTGGGGTAGAACGTCAGTCAGTCAGTCAGGCCATAATCCTGTGATTCCTATTACTTTATCTTCCTTACGTCCTTTTTAGGACGTAATTTTTTGTTATTTGAAACCCCACTCTGGCTTTTGCCAGGGGCCGCAATACAGGCAGGCCATCAATAATGCCAATTGTCTGAACGCGGTTTCTGGGACCTCTCCACGGTGATCCTCATCCGCATGGTGGCACATTGTGTGATGTCCTGGTGGGGTAGAAAGTTAGTCAGTCAGTCATCCTGTGATTCTATCACTTACTCTAGCAACTACATCAGTAAACATGCCTATCCGCAATACTGACCTCAAAATAAAGTACGTTAGAAGAGTTTTAGATAGTCAAAACAGAAAGACTTACCTCCTATCCCTGGCCGAAGCTCTTTGTCGTACCCAGCCAGCAGACTGTCCAGTACCTCGGACACAGCTTTCGTTTTGGGAACTTCGTAGCTGTCGGATCTGTTTATGCAGACAACACTTTGATCAATCAATTAATGGATCAATACGTGAATTTATTTTTTTAAAGAGTTCGTTGGTTAGTTAGTTAGTTAGTTGGGTTATCATCATTGCACTCCAGACATGTCCATAGGTGCTCAGATCCTTCCCCTAGTATGAACCCCAACGTCCGATGGCTAATAGTACCAGTTCTATGTTGATTAACAAGTCCTCTGGCGTGTCTGGTGTGCGTCTCGTTTTTTGCTGTGCCGATCTTAATTCCCAAGTCTGCCATTCTGGCGAGTGATGTGGATTCACTGCCACCAAAGTCCTCTATCCTTCCCATTTCTCTGAGGGCATTGGTAATATCAGCATGATCCATAGGCTGACCGTCGGTAGTGATAGCGGATCCAGCCAACCTGTCAGCTCTTTCATTTCCATCGACGCCTGCGTGTCCCGGAACAGAAATAAAGGTATGTAGTCTAAATCGACGTCACTGCAACTTGAGCATTTCCATGCTGCTCAGATGTCGCAACCACTTAAAGTCACTTCTGTTTACTGATTGTTCCCATGAGTAGTGGGTTATGATGTTTTCCTTTTTGTGGCCTCAAAGGCGGCATAGACCGTGTTTTACCATGCTTTACTCCCTTGTCATGCAATGGCGGCTAAGCTGCAACTTTCCGTCCTTTTTATGATGCAATTTATCGTTATCTGAAGCCCTACTCTGGCTCTTGCCAAGGGCCGCAATATATACTGGCAATAAATATGGGCATAAAGGCTGAACGCGGTTTCTGAGACCTCTCCACGGTGATCCTCATCCACATGGTGGCACACTGTGTCATCTGGTGTTTATCGCTTGTGTGATGTCCTGGTGGGGTAGAAAGTTAGTCAGTCAGGCGCAATGGCGGTAGTATAAGAGATTCGTCACTAACCCACTAAACTTGTCCGTTTAGTGTTGATGATATTGAAAGAACAAAAATATTTATAAGAGTGGGTCGCACAAATCGAGCCCTGACTCGTGGAACATTTGAGTGTGAAACGATTTCACTAACCTCTAAACTACAGAGCCGTGCTACATGTGGATGGCAGTTGTACGTATTACATACAGTAATCAAATTACAGTTATCAGTGAACCAGATATCTGGTGCAGAGGACTGAAAATAGGATACAAGTCACTGTGGTGTTGTTTCTGATAGATGAAGCACCGCAGTAACATTCATTCCCCTACACCTGTGCTTTCTTCTGAACAGCAGTATAGCGCCAGAATGCTGAAGTGGCTTCACGGCTGGGCTGAATATTAGGGCGGACTACTTGAAAGATGTCTTGGGCCGGCCCTGCTACGCCGACCACAGGTTTAGGACCGTCTTCTTTGGGGAAGAAGGCTTCCAGAACTCTGGTCCATGTTTTTTTTTCTTCGAAACTCTCTTGCCTACAGTCGAAATGCCATGATCAAAACATATCAAACTCCTAGGGGGCCAATCACCGAGGTTTGGTCTCTTTAAGAACGCACGCTTCCAGAGATTTCCACAGGAAACCAGGGCTGACCGGAAGCGGAAATACTTCGGGATCTGACCGGCCGCCATGAGAGGCTAGGTTGGGTTGTGTTTGAGAGAGCGTAATGTGAAATAAAATCGATGTGACATAAGAAGGAAATAGACCAGGGAACAGCGACGGAGACACGAAGGAGGTGATTACACGATGGGAGACAGTTGATGTGGGAGTCATTGAAGCGTAGACATTCACCTGTCGACCCGAAGTTTTCAGATTTTAATTCATATAGACTCAGATTATGTCCAAAATTATCGTCTTGCAGGTCTACCCAGCCTAAGGCGGGGGATCCAGCCGCTTGTTTCGGCGGTGCCAGCAGGGCCGGATTAACTATTAGGTACAATAAGCACGTGCATAGGACAACCACATAATGTAGGGGAACCATATTCATTTTCGATTTCCTTGCAAATGAGTGTTTGGATGCCTCATCTTTTTAATGTATAGAAGCAGATGTGTTACATGGGATTAGTCTGTAAGGCTCTGATCAAATAATAATAATAATAATAATAATAATAAAAAATCATTATATATTTAAGTTTGAACACGGAGGCACAAATACATATTTTTCAAGAAATGAGATTTATTAACAGCATTTTATTCATCTGGAAATTCTTTTTCTTCTTTCGTTCGCTTGAAATAAATTATCTATACCTGCAATGCTGTCTCTAGTTTGAACTTCACTGTCTTTTGTAATTCACTAAGCGGCCCGTAAAGTTTGACTTCCACAAGTGTCTCTTTTGGCCAGAAGTCTTGCCTGGAAGCGTTGAATCTGGGACAGTCTTGGAGGAGGTGATCTGTTGTTTCAGGTGCCAGTCCACAGGTACGCATGGCTGAATCGCAATCTTAAATTTTGTGTACATGTGGCAGCGAAGTCAATTGTGCCCTGTTCTAAGGCAAAGAATAATGACTTGCTCTGGTCTGTCCATAATATGATACTCGTCTTGCGCCAGTTTCGGTGGCTTTCTGATTGACTTGATTATTATCTTCTTCTGTTGATAAGAGACTGGTATGTCAGGTTGTTCTTCAGTTGCACATTCCTTAGCTAGGTTATCCCCTCTTTCGTTTCCGGGAACCCCACAATGGGAAGGTATCCACTGCATAACTAAATTACAACGGTTGCCTAGTTCGGATAATAGTGTCCGTATACTTAGTAATTTTCCAGACTGGAGTGTCTGAAGTACCTCTTTTGCATCTGTCTATCTGGAAATTAATAACGCCTTTAATATGGTTTTTATCATTTGCGTTGCAAGGGTTGAAGCTATTTGTTAATGTCACGTGAATTCGATGTAATAAAGCCAGATTGACGTCAATTTTAGCATATTCTCTATCTATTTCACATGCATTCAGACTTTGGGGGCAGGCTTGGGAATTTAAATAATGCCGACACAAATAATGCATTGCAAACTTTTTTGTCATGTGTATTTTGCTGCATCTCATCAGACCCGTTATTAGACAGATACATCAACATTTAACATGCACACACTAAGAAATTGCTCTGAAATAATGATCTCTCTCGATACATTGTTTGTCCCTTCGCCGGAAGTTCACTAGTCAAGTGACTTAATGAAGGTGACTTAAAATTTATAATAAATTCCTTCTGCAAAGCGATCTGCTGCGAATTACCCCCAGCTGGAATGGAATTGGGTATTTTGGAATTATGTGAAATAATTGAAATGTAAGATTCTCAGCTTTATCATTAAAAAAAAAAGGTAAAACCAGAGGGATGTTTGAGGCTGGGGTGTTATGGCTAGGCGGTCAGAAATGATACACATGCCCATAGAACGATGTGGATTTAGCAGGATCTGGCATCCCCGTTAATACTTGAGTTGGGCTGTTTTTGTAAATTTGTTTTCCTTATTTATGTTAACACAAAATATGTGTCTTGTCAGAGGCGCTGAGGCAAAGAAAACAATGGTTAATTCAGGTGGGAATGTGTGTGTGGGCGCGCGCGTGTTTGAAAAGGGCACTTTAGCCTCCTAACAATTTTTTTTAGTTAGTCTTTAATGGGCTTTATGAATTTTAAAGTACGTAATGATGTTAACGCGCATTAACGCCGAATTTGTGGATGGCGTATACCAAACCTGACGTCCCATACTGAGCCAACGCCATCGGGCGGATACTAGTTTTATCCTACGAAAAGGAAATGAAACCTGCAGACTTTATGTTATGGCAGGACAGACAGACCCTTAGCCTTGGCTGGCTGTTGATCTAGGAGGAAAGCTCCAATATGCGCACAGATGGAGCACTGCTCTTCGGATTTGGCAGCTTCTGCAGCCTGCTTTATTCTAAACGTACTGGTGTTACATTTGGGTAAACAAGGCAGGTCTCTACAATACTGCCCAGGCTTTATACTATGGAGGGGATGAACTTCGTGCCTAATATTGACAACCCAATGAAAATCCTGAAATCCCGTGGAAGACTTTTCTTAACGCGGACGGGTCTTGCTAGTAACACTCGCCATCTCCATGGATGTGAGTTCTATGCCTCGTTATGGCGCACATTAACACTATCGTCTGGAAAGTCGAATAGGTGCCAATCAATGATTCTATTAATAATAACATTATTGTAAACTGTGTGTTTAATGTTCGTCCAGCACAAATGATTAAGACCACGATTTCTTTCATCTGTCTAAAAACTATGGCTGATTGTCAGTGAGTCCGGAGATGACGTATAATCTATATATGGACCCGGAAGGATCTAGGGCAATGATGGCAGGGAACAGTGTCTGTAGATAAAGGGCATGTTATTCGGATCTTTCTAGCCTGTCCGCGCTGTTCAGCTGCCTCCCTTTTTTCTAAATCCCTCGCAGGTTGCTGTACCTCGTCGGAAAGACGTTCCTCATGTTGCCCGGTCTTGTGCAGCAGCCTCCCAAAGTGTCAGGGTTTATACTGAGGGTTTTAAGTGATGCGTGTTCCTGAAGCATACCCCCCCCCCCTTTACCGCTCCCCTTCCCACAGGAAACAATGCGAGCGTCTACCTTATTATACCTCACCATAAAATGTTTCGGCTATCCTCCAACTAACGGTCGGTAAAGATGGCGGCCGCAAAATATCCTTTCGAGCCACAGTAACGCGTCAATTGCGCACTAGCGGTCACGAGCACATCGCGGGAAAACTAGGATTAGTGTCTTTTGACTATTCCGAGAAACGGAACAAACCGCCGAGTTAAACTCGCCACCAAGAGTCAAGATGGGGCTAAACTAGATGGCTGGGACCCTTAAGCAGAAGCTTCCGCATCTCCTGCAGCTTTGCTCGTGAATCCTGGCCATCTAGTTTAGCCCCATGGTGGCTACTCTCGGCGGTGGCAGTAGTCGCCGGAAAACCGCAAATTAAGTCGCTGGAAGTTCTCAATTGACACGTGACTGAGGCCCTGTTTGTAGTCGACATCTTTTGTGACCGTTATTCGGAGGACAGCCGGTCTGTGGATGCTACTAAAAAGAAAGCTACGTTACCAATGCGGCACGAGCCGCGCCTTGT